ATGAAATACCCCAATTGTCATGCAAAATTTGTCGGTAATGTAATATCCGAGCTGATCGGACCAAAACTTAAGGTCGAAAAATACCTAAGACGGGTTAATATAACTAAATCAGTTATATCGATATCAAATATTTTTCCGAGCTTTAAGTTTTGGTCCGATCAGCTCGGATATTACATCACCGACAAATTTTTGCGCCATGACTATGCTACTCGACTGTTAATGTGATTACTAATTTTTAAATATTAATTGTCACGTCGTGTGATGTCAGGTTTATGGCCTGTCGAGATTTTGGATGTTGAACTCGATCCGCGGAACACTACTTGTTTATATTAAACAATGGACTGTTTATATAGGGAAATGTCACCAGATGAAAACATGAAATCTTGCATAAAATTTCAAGTTTGCATTTGGAAATAATCCGAAAGAAATTTTACTTACGTCAGAATTCAATCCTACCATATTAAAATTCAATCTCAGAATCCTAATATGAGGACAAGTTATTGCCAACTTTTCCATTAGTGCCAAATCAAATTTAGGATAAGGCTGCTTAACGGTCACATCCGCTGTTGCCATATCATCACTTCTGATATCCAATATTTCCAACATATACCTTTCGAACTGCACCAAAGTCCAAATTACGGTCGGAGTCATTCTCGGCCTACTCGTGAACGCAAATTCAACCAATCCTTGACAATTTTGTACAATCATCGACAACGAAACATGCGTAATGTTCAAGCATCCGATTATGGACACTTTGCACAGATTTGGACAATGTCGAGACAGCTCGGATATACCCGCGTCAGTAATTTGATTACAATGCATTATTGTGAATTTTCGAAGATTAATGTTTCTATATTTAGCCAATGTTGATACTGAAATGTCGGTTAAATTTGTGCAAGTTCGAAGTTCTATAGATTCTAACTGATGACAGTATTGGGCTATGGGCAAAAATGAATCGTCAAACAAACCACGAGCAAAATTTAAATCAATGTGTCGTAAATGATGTTGTGAATGCACCCATAATTTAGTAAAATGGTCAAACCCTCGATAAGAGCTTATTCGTAAACTGATTGATTCCAACGGTGGAAATTCAGATGCTATATTCATGGCAGTTTCAATGCTAATATACGGAAATTCTAAAGATAAAGATTTTAATTTTGGACAACCGGACATAAGAATTGTGAATCCAGACCCTGTTATGGTACTGCATGTGAAGGTTTGTAAGTTTGGAAACGAAGCGACAATTATGGAAGCTAAAATATTAGTTACTAAACTTGAGGCAATTAACAATGTGGTCAACATGGGACATTGTTTCCCTATGTCTCGTAATATATCATGCTGCATCCATTCGGATTTCCAGTTTTTTAGCTCTAGATATCGAAGTTTTGAACAATTTCCATTACGAATTGGCTGCAGTGCACGACTTAAAGTTGCTAGATTTTGGCCAGAAATTACTGAAGAAATCAAACCAGGACTATGTTCTAAAAACATAGAAATTGTATCAGCTGAGAATGATCGAGTGAAGGTGATATGCTTAACGTTGTTGCATCGTTCAGCAATTAGTTTAATATCAACAGCAGGAATTGAAATCTCGACATGAAATGGGCTGTATGAAGAAAATATTAGATATTGGATCATTCGATTATATTCGAATGAAGTAGTTGAATTTCTTAATGTTCGTATGAATTTTCGGAACACGCTTGGAGATTTCCAAATTGGTTTTTTCCATAATTTACCAACAATTACCTACGCATTATATGGTTACCGAAAATTATATATTGTAAAAATGACAAGATCGATTAAAATTTAAGCATACCGAGGTCCAATAAGAATTTACAAGAAGCCCATTAAACATATCATCCTGGTACTCAAAATTATCAAAAATTATATGTAGTAAATCGATGTTTAAAAGTACGGATTGCGCCATTGGATTGTAGAACCGATTTTTGTTTTTTTTTCTTCCTTTGTTTTTGTTTTTTTTTTTTTGTTTTTTTAAAAAAAAAAGAAATACAAAACTATATTTAATGTTCCTATTTCTATTTATATATGTCGACAATCGAGCTTTACGCCTTATCACGAACTCTAATAAAGCAATTCACACATTAAGCTATTATACGCACAAGACCTACTTTTTGTAGTCGATTTAATGCTAGATCATCAACTAGTTAGAAATCAAACACTAAAAGAATATAAAAAATATATATAGTTAAATTCTAACAATTCAAAATATATAAGTTACTAAATAATGCAATAGAAATCGAACTTGTTTATAGGCAATGACATTTGATTGATAGTATTTAAGTAATTGTTGGCTAAAATAGGGATATTTAATCATGTGCTTCCAGATGACATCTAGTTTTAATGCAATTCAGATTATCTTGCGCTCTTTTTGAACTTAGTATACCATGTTTCGAGCTGTGTCATCGAAAACGAGACATGCAAAGCGTTTATGGTAAGGAAAACAGCAGGCCAGGCTCCATGAACAAAGGTAGCACTTTAACTGATAGTGAGCGAACAATTGAAACAGTTAATAAAGAGTTTATATTACGTATAACAATAGAAATAGCATATATACTGTAAAAATAATACAGTATATGTAATTTTTTATATAAATTTATTATATATTTGATATATTATATCCAACAGTTGGGACTTTATATGGTGTGTGAGAATGTCTCACAAATTTAGCCAAGACACATTCATGGACTTTAATTGCTTCTTTTAATTGTTTTTAATGTTGTCGTCTGTACCTAAACCTCATTATCGAATACATATACATTTTACTAGTATAATGTATCATACAATTTATTAGTTGGTAAGTGTACAATAATAAAACTATATAATTATGAATACTTATAGTAATCAATCAAGAGCCTACATACGTCCGTACGTACGTACGTACTCTTATAAGAATTTTTGGTTATCACACTTGTTTACAATCAGCTGTCACTTTTTACTCGTGTTATCGTTCCCCCATTGTTTTATTTGACAATAAACAATCATTTTGAGAAAGAACAAAATGACAATGATGTTTGCAAAAAAAAAAAGTAAATTGGCGTTCCTAAATACAATGAGATCTAAAAATATATTGTTATTGAGCTACGCCATCAAACTTTAATTTAAATGAAAATGCTTGTTGTACTTTACAAAACATAGAATAAGCTTTTTATCAAGCGTCACACATAACTTCCTTACAGCTAAATAATGTAATCATTGCACTGGTAAAGACAATTAAGTTTGTACATCGATAGTCGACGTACGTACATGCTTCTACGTAATAATATTGTTTTTTGGTATTTTGCCAAACTCACGGCATTAGGATAGAGTGTATAACAAATAATACCTAATGTATCATATGTTTCTATATATTATGTTTTATAGATTTCTTTAAGTTTTATATATGAAATTTTTAATGCAAAATTTCATATTATGGTTAGTATTTAGGGTTAGTATTAAGAGTTGGGAAGGATTTGGAGAGCGTAGAATATTGTTACTTAGAACACCTCGTATCAATTAATTAGCCAGGTTTTGAGATAGTATATTTATAGATGTAAAACACTGATATATTTTAGTAAAAGTCTGTGTTATTAATAAAATTTTATACTATATTATATTGTATACTAGTAATATTAATAGTATATAGTAATAAATTGTAAACTTTATTTAATTTTATACTGTATTATAAAAAACACAAATTGTTTATAAAACAGTATTAGAAATTATATTACCGTATGGCGCTAACTATAGTATTCCTCTGCTATAAAAAAAAACCAGATACAATTTATAGGTTTGTGATTCAGAAGATTGAATAAGACCTGGGCATTATTCTAGTTAGATATATATAATACTTATATTTGAATTCTTATTAAACTAATATTAAACTATATAAAGTACTCCTGTTATAGTACCCTCTCTTGTAATTAGTATCTAAAAGGATACTATTTAAGAAATTTGATAGTTGATTGAATAGTACTTGGAGTACTGTAGTTAGCATTATATAGTATAATATTGTATCTTATTTTTTAGTATTTTTAAATTTTACTACATATACTAAGTTTTATATATTTTTTAATATTAAAATAATTTGGTTATTGATTTTGGTTTTAAAATAACCTCTTGGTTGACTTTTTTTATTTAATTATAGTTTAACTTTATAGTATGTCACTTATATTATATATATTTGAAGAGTATAATTAGATAATAGTGTTATTTGGCAATTTATAATTATGATTGGTAGAGAGTTGCTTGCTGAGTTTTAATTTGAATAAATATGATTATATCATAACATATAAAGAAAATAACAAAAAGAACTTTTTCATGATCATTCAATATCTAATCAAATCATTTATGACACAATTAGGCTTAGGTTACTACATATCATTATTGACCTTTAATATTTGTAAAACCTAGTATTGCAGACTTATATATAGGGGTTAATAATTCGAATTTCATTATTTATTGTTTAAAATTATCCTCAAAAAGCTTAGAAAAAAAAGATAAGTTATATATAATGTTTCAGGCAAAACTTAAAAAAAGAAATTATAACAATGCATTTGATTATTAATGTTAATTATTGTTATAATTTTTTTTAAGATTTTGTTTAAAATAAGTATTTAATATATAAATAATAAATTTGTTATATAAAAAAATATTTACTAATCAACTTCAATTAAACTTAAAATGGACTCAAGAACTCAACAATGTAAGCAGTATTTTTTAATTGCAAATTTTGCAGTTTTATCTATTAAACATTTTGATATGCATCTATATAGTGAAAAGCTTTTTGCATATTGACAAATAGTTGAGTATAAACAGAATCAAGAGCTAATAAAACAGTTTTTTGTAATTTTCTTCATGAGTAATTATAATGTGTTCAGCTATATTTTTTAGCAGCATCTATTTAAGCTTATAATAAAATTTAAGTTAGAATATAATTTGATGTCTAGCTACAATAATAATTTTCTTTAGCTGCCCTTTTTGTATCAAAAAATCTGGCTATTAATTTATTAATTCTTATACTTCTTTTAATTTTAATTTTTTTTCTGGCTATAATCTTCTCTCACTTAAAACTTGTTTTAATTCTTTAACCTTTCTATATAATTCAGAGATGTGATAATCTAATGAAAAACTATATTTTGATTATACTTTATTTCTTATGAAAGTATGATATACTATGTATTTTTTCTTGTTTTCTAACAGAACTAAAGTTTATATTTTTTATAACAAGTATATCAGGTGCATAAGTTATATAACTTTTTGTATTGTCAAATGCAAATAATGCTTGGCATTTTAAAAAACATACTTCAAATATAGGAATAGTATAGTTAAATACTTAGTCAGACTTTCACTATCTATCATTGTTTTGCTGAGCCATATAATTATATATTGAATAGTTGTATTTTTTTAAGAAGTACAGGTTGGCTACCAACATCTGTAAGAAATTTACTAACATAAATTGGATATCTCTCATCTTCCTTTTGTAAAGATTGTTCTCCTTCAAAATTCAAAAACTTCGACTTCTATAATTAGCTAAAAATATATATTTATTATATATAACAAAAATAAGCAGCTATATAATATTATCAGACTAGGTTTTTACTTTTATATTATTATCTAAAAATATTAGCATTCTATATTCAAGATTACTAATTCATACTAAAAATATTTTTAAATAGACCACTACATTTTCTCTTTCATATCTATTAATATAAACACCTTTTTTTACTTTTTTATATATATAATCAAGCTTTTTTAGTAGTGATATAAATCAATGAAAATTTTTAATTGATTAATTAATAGATCATTTTATTTAACTAATCAATTAATTAGTTTTATTCAACTAATTGATTAGTTGAATAAATAATAAATGAAACTTGGTAAAATATATGTAAGGTAGCAACTAAAATATCAGTTAATATTCTAATGTGATTAGTAATTTAATTGACCAATTGACTAGCTAATTAATTGACTAATTGATTAATCAATTAATTGATTAGTTGACTAATTGATTAATTAATTAGTTGACTGGGTTTGTAAAATTCAAATTATTAGTTGTCAACTTTACAACTAATTGATTAATTTGATTTTTGATTTGTAACACTATTTTTTAAATAATTTTTGCAGTATTAAAAAAAATAGTTGGTGATAATACAAATCCAAGCTCTAATAAAATAATCTCATTTATTTGTAACATTATCATTTATTATCTGATTTAATCAGATCTTTATATATAATTTTAAAATTTTTATTTTCTTTTTCCTCTAAAAAATTATCTAATTTTTGTCATATTCATAACCATGTATAGAATAATATTTTATTTATTTTCTTATATATACGACTTAATTTGAAGAAGAATATCTTTATCCCAAAGAAAGCTTCATATTTTAACATGTTATTTTTAGTATAAATAAGAACTTTAGCAGGTTATAACATATTCATATATCTAAGAATAAATACACCTAGCATGGTATATCTATTTTTCTGCTATATATATGACTATTTTATTTGCTTCTATTTTTTGATAATTGTATTTTATAAACTAAAGATAAAAATGAATACTATGAAATCACACCCAAACTTTACTATTTAAATTCTCATTCTTAATATCTAATACTATATTTTTAAATGCAATTAAAATTCATTTATGCCAATTAGAGATTTTAATTTTATCTTTTAATAGTCCTCTAGTATTATCTTTATCAACTTTGTTCAGTCATTTATCAGCAGATTATTCTACTTTATCAGCTTCTTTGCCAATCTTATTTAATTTCAAAAGGTAAGCAATATAGGCATTCCTTTTGCTATTTCATGTTGTTATGCCTTTTTCTTTTTTTAGTATGAACAGAGTTTTCTAAATAGCATGGCTTATGGGATTGGTTAGAATCGCTTTCATAATAAAAGGTGTTTGCTGCATTTAAACATATTTTTGCAAAGCTATTATTTTTAATTAGCTTATTATAAACAAAAAGACTTTCATTATTAGAATCTTTAAGCATATTATTGTCACTATAATATTTGTTTGTTGCAACTTAAATTCTTTTTATAATACTTGTAGCATTGTTATTCTTGTCCATTTCATTATAAAAAAATTATTAAAATTTTTTTTTTCAGAATTATTAGAATTATTATACTTATTTGTCTTTACTTTATTAGCTTTATTCAATTTTTTTAATTGTTTGTTAGATACAATATATTATTACTAATAAATTAACTACTCAAAATAATTTTTATTACAAAGAAACTCAAGGAGTCAATCTATTATTTATTTATATTATGACTATTTTTGAACCTTTAGATATATCTTTAGACAATTTTATAAATTTAAGGTGATACAAATAAAATAATCTGATTTACATAACATTTGAAAAATTTTTGGACCTGGTTGCCCGGAGATTATTTTATATATATAAAATTTTTTATAAATAAGACTAGTATTAAAAGACAGACTAAATGGTATAAAATAAACACTACAAACAAATGTCACAATGACCATTATATAATGAGACAATCGGGCTATATATGCTATGTATTATTTCTCAATTCATGTCAATTATTAATTGATATATTTCATTTTCAATTTGAAAATGGTACAGTGTTTTCAACAGATATTTGTATAAATTTACAATTAATTAAAAAATTATTGCGACATATTTAAACTTATGTGTATCTT